AATGGGTACACAAAAAAGTTGTAAAGGGGTGCACAGATGGGTTGTTTAAAAGCTGTTTTGTAGGCCCTATTAAAGCTCCACATTTACAGTATCCACTTACCTATATTATCATTTTACATATTATGAATATTAAATGGTTTTATTTTTTTAAATAAAAAGTCTAAAGTTTATTAAACTGTTTTTCAAAAGTCGGTACTGAGGTGTCCCGATTTTTTACATTGATTTTGTTTATTATTTTTGGGAATCGTTTTTTGTAATAAATTCGCTTATTTTTTCCAAGTAAAAAAGAGAAAAACAGTCTTCAAAAAATATTTTTTTACTTGAAGAATTTTTAAGCATTAAAAAATCCATATAAAATTTGAAATAACAGGATTTTTGTTTCAGAAAAACACGCAAATTATCCCAAAAGTGCATTTTAGTACAAAAGCAAATAAAATTTAATGTCAAATTTTTTCATTATCAAACAATTCATTAATTTATAAAATATTCACAAAACAAAAGCTAAGTTCGAAGATTAGTATGCTTAGTAGTGTTGTCACAAAAACAATAAAAATAACAAAATGATTTGATAACTTATCTTTGTTGGGTTTAATAAAGTCGACATTATCTTTGAGCATTTCAGTGAAAACATCATTTTTAAAATATCCAATTACAAAAAATCATTGTTCTATTGTTTTATCGTTTTTTCTTGTGTTGCCCTTTGACAATTTGACTTGTGGTTGTCAAAAATATCAAACATTTGCTGTAATTTATTTTTTGGTGTTTTTGGAACTTTTTATTTCATTATTTTTTATTCAGAGAAGAAAACCACAGTTTGTTTTTAATTGAAAATGAAAAATTAACGAAAGTAATATTCAGTTAAAACTCGACACGAACAACACCATCCAAATTTACTTAAATATTCATTGTTGTGCTTTTATGCCAACAATACTGAATATATGTTGCGAAGTATCGAGTTGTGGTCAAATCAAATAACGGGATCGGGTTTATTAGAAAAGGCTGGCTAATATTTCGATATTTTCCCGAATTTGTACGAAAATAATTGAACAGGATTGGTATTTTTTTCAAAATAAAGTCGGTACTTTCGATTTTTTGTTTTTTTAGGAAAAAACAAAAATAAAAAACGGGACTTTAGGAAGTTCTAAAAATATGACAGTACCAACTTTTGAAAAACAGTTTATATTTAATAAAATGATAATTAAAAAACAATCGGTTTTAGTTTTCAATTTAGTTGGCAAAAAAACTCATTTGGTAAGACTTAAAAAAATAAATATCTAGAAGAAAGATTGGGATAGAAAAGTGTTAAACTAGTCTTAGCTTAAAAATTGAATGGCGATTGAAGTCAGAACGGACACCTTTTTGTCCGCCCGTTTTTACACGTCCAAATGATCCTGAAATTTGCCGCATTTGTTGCATTCTCCCCTTAAAGTTATTATTCCCACAAATCGTTATAATTTCAAATTATACAACCTGTTGAATTCGTAAAGCCATATTAAACTAAGGCTTTTTTACTGTTGTTGTAAAATCACAATTCCGACTGTTAAATATTCTTTGTTTCGCTTTAACCACAAATTATTTTTCTTTTTTTACCCAAAACTGTCTCCAAATCAATACCATTCGACATGTCATTGAATGTGTCATCAAGCCGTATAATGGCTTTAGCAGCGTCAAAGAGTTCATCCATGTTGTCGTGGACTTTGTCTTTAAACATTTATTATGAAGCTTTTCATTTTATCGGCCAAGCCTTAATCATATTATTTTAGTGGCTCACTTATCGGCTTTGACTCGAACTGCTATTCTACGTCCCTATATTTTTATTTCCTTGTCAAGACTTTATGTATTTTTTTATAATTGAAGGTTTTTTATTCCGACTATTAATAATATTATAAAATTATTTAATTATTTAATATTATTTATTATAGTTCAATTATAGTAAATATAAGGTATGTCGTAAATTAAAAGATTATTTTAAGTTCTATTAAAAAAAATCAAAAGGGCGGACAAAAAATGTCTTTTTTGACATTTAAGTGTTAAGTATAATATTTTGTTTCTTTTTTCCCAATAAATTAGAAACATTTTTATTAAAAATTGACCAAAAAATAAATAAGGTTAATGAAATAAATAACTTCTTTAAACTGAATTAACTTTTTTATAATTA